ATCCGTTTTCCATGCGAAGCTTCAAGTCCGACCGGCGTTTTAGCATACCAAATACGGAGTATAATGCGTACCACATAGTTTGAATAGTATCTCTTTATTTATTATTAGTAATAGTAATTACTAATTAGTATAATTAGTAATTAAGTTGGGGGCGTGTTTTTTTGTGTGTATAAATATGAAACCGATCCACCCATAACATTAATGTTGTATAAATGGAAAGTCCCATAAAATTTAAACCACACTCTTTCTTAACATTTATTGTTTAAGTAATTTTTTTTATGTGACAAAAAATGTCACTTTGATTAAAATTTTAATAAATTAACTATTTTATCGTATTTAAATTTTCAGAGTGTTACAATCTATTTGGGAAAATTTTAAACTTCCGCTGCCGTACTTTCGAGGTACGTTACATCAATTTCCTAACAACGATATCATGTTATCTTCGCTGGAAATGATACATCCCATATTGACTATGTTTAAAAATATTTTGACAAATTTTTAGCATCAAGGATTTGGGAGTTTTAAAATCGTGGCCGGATGACAATAGTCCTCCTATAGTACAATCACTGTTCTAAAAATCGGGCTAGGCGGATCGATTAATCAGCCTAGTCGGCCCTAACTGTAGAGGCCTAGTCAGTCAAAAAATCGGCCTAGTCGGCCAAAAAATCGGCCTAGTCGACCGCCTAGGCGCTAGGCGCCCCTCAACCGCCTGACTAGCGCCTAGCGAGTTTTAGAACAGTGAGTACAATGATTATTGTATCTTACTGTTATGTGACCAGACATTGCTTTTGTGGTTAACTAGTTGAGCTAGTTTTTAAATCAACCGAGCCGAACTCACCATATAGCTATGTACAAAGTCCTTCATTATTTGAAGGCTTCTCCAGATCAAGGAATATTTTTACCGTCAAAAGGCTTAATTGGTTATTGCGATACCTATTGAGCTGGGTCAGGGGTGGAAACAGGGAGGGGCTGAAGTGGGCCTCGGCCTCCGAAAGAAAAAAAATCTTAAATATATATTATGAATAAATACTTTTCATCTATAGTAAATATGTTGATATTTTAAACTTTGGCCCCTGTAATACAAATTTTTTAAGAATCGACCCCCTTAACCATAGATTTCAGGCTCCGTCACTGAGCTGGGTGTACTTACACATGGCGATCGTGCTTCGGTTACTGCATATCTCTAGGTGAATCTCCTATTTCATAGCGCACGAAGAAGCAACCAGTCTTCTCCTGCTTTTCAGGAGAAGCAGAACATCGGTCCATGGCAACTACGGTGAGCGAGATTTTGTGGCTGCACTAGCTTTTGAAGGACTTTAGAGTTTATCAGTCAAATCATAGGCCTTTTTTATGAATATTACTAAAATAAATGTAAAAGACAAGAATATGACTTGTTCTTATATTTTCCAAAAAAGTGACTTACCATATCATTCATGATTATTATTTAATACCGCAATAATAGCGCCACTGCCACCACTAATACCGTCACTAGCATCGTTACCCCCGCCAGCACCGCCATTAGTCACCATTAAATCACTAATTAATTTAAATTTCATAGTGACTACATAAATGTAGTCATTGAAGCCAAACCCCCGCTAACAAAATTGTTGAAACCCTAACCATCGCCAACGAAGTCACTGAAGCCCTAGACGTCATCCACGAAGTCACTGAAACCCTAATTCGGCGCCAGTGAAGTCACTGAAACCCTAACCCCTGTCAACAAAGTCACTGAAGCCCTAGTCGTCATCAACGAAGTCATTGAAACTTTAGCCGCCGCCAACGAAGTCACTGAAGCCCTAGCCATCGCCAACGAAATAACTAAATCCCTAGCCGCCGCCTACGAAGTCAATGAAACTCTAGTTACCGTCCACAATGCCGCTACCGCACACGACGTTGCTGTCGCCCATGACATCACCAAAACCATAGCCGCCCATGACGTCGCCCACGATGTCACAGAACTAGCCCTCGCTACCCACCATCAACAAACCATCAACAAACACGGAGAAGAAGATGAGGGGAGAGGGAGGCGTTTCTCGTCATTGTCAGCTTTCCGCACTGTGAGGTGGTCGTCACAGCGCCAACCCTATGGCGGCCGCCGCTAAAGGTTGATGTCATCTCTAGTCATCACTAAATTGTCCATATGGTTCGTTGAAGAAGATTATTATACCGGTGGCGGCAGAAGTAATCGTCGATGATATTGATAGAGTTTGAGATGTGGGTGCTCATTAGGGATGGCAACGGGGCGGATCGGGGACGGTTTTGCATATAACCGTAACCGCCCCGTTGGGTAATTTCCCCGCCCCGTAACCGCCCCATTACCCAACGGGTAATTTTTACCCAAACCATAACCGCCCCAACGGGTAACGGGTAAACTTCGGGTAACCGCGGGTAACCACTTTATTACTTGAGTCATTAAATTTTGATATAAAAATAATATTTTAAAAGGCGAAGAATGACATCGCCTAGACGACTCTACACTTCAGATGCCAATTTAAAGATTTGTATACATACAAGACGAGAAATCAAGCAACTTAAATTAATTTGAACCTAAAAATACTTGATCTAAAAAATAATTAATCACAAAAATATGGTAATAATCAAACAAGACTATTAAAATCTATTATGAACTTTCGTTCATACATTATAGTTAGTACATCTATTATCTATATATACACAATGGAAAGAAAAAATCTCATCTTTTAATAGTTGTTAGATAAATAATAGATAAAAATATAATAAAAATATATCTACAAATAAACGGGGCGGATACGGGGCGGGTAATGGGGCGGGCATGTATAAAACCGTAACCGCCCCATTACCCGTAAAAAGAAAACGGGGATTCCCCGCCCCGTACCCGTTACCCGGTCAATGCGGTTTTCCCCATTTTGACCAGGGCGGTTCGGTGCGGGTATCCATCGGTTCGGTCACAATTGCCATCTCTAGTGCTCATGGATGCTGCACGCTTAGTTGGAATAAAGAAACATATTGTTATTTTTGGAAATCTTAATGATCCATATATTAGGGGTTATTAAATACTACTACATATTTATTATTAATGAGTAATAAGTCATAATTTAGTCTAATTAAAAAGGTAGTCATATATTTGGAAATGAAAACACTGATACCAATATATGAGCCATTTTTTTCCAAATCATATCCCTTTATTGTGTGGTAATTGGTTTGTTCAACTCATTGCGATTAATCTTGTTTTCCATGAGCGACAAAACATGTTGAGATGGACTGCTTTCGTACGGGAAAAAGTAGCCAGTGTTGAAATACAACCATGTATGGATCCACTAGAAATTAAGTTGCTAACATCATCACTAAAGCACTTGGAAGTTGGAACAGAACAATTTCAAATTCTTCATGCCAATTTGGGTGTTCGTGACCTTCAGACTCCAGATAAGAAATTACAAGATTATATTTTGCTAGCACATTATTTTTGCACAATTAGGTGATTATAAGATTACTTAATTAACGGATTACTTTGAAAATTTGGCTGCTCACCAAATTTCTACAAGCTAACAAGAAATATGAAACGAAGAGCATTAAAAACAATCAGGCAATCAGCCCAATGTATTACAATATATAAAAACAAAAAAGAAATTGCACCGTCCCATATTCGAGACGAACTATACATACTTGTTGCTCTTATAATCTAATGATCACTCTCCACAAATAATAGGTTTGCTAAGAGCATCCGCATTTATGCTACTTAAATAAACAGATTTTTAATGACACGTAGATTGACACGTGGATTTTTTCAAAATAATCTCACACCTTTTAAATTACATCATTCATCGTCTCAAAATAATCAGATCTTTTGCGGGTCCTACACTCACCAATTAATACTAGTTGCACAATAATCTTGAGATAATCTGGATTCATATTTCAATTCAGGATTATTTTGTCAAATAATCTCACCAAATAATCTCCATCACTCGGTCATGTTCTCTAAAATAATCCGCCACATCACTAACTTAATCTTCAAATAATCATATGAATGGAGATGCCCTAAGCATGAAGATGTATTCAAGTATCAAGGTACGTATAAAGAAGCCAAGAAGGGTTCAATGAGTCTTTTCAACCTGCAACGTCCAAATAATAAATATCAACTGAAAAAGTAACTTTAGAGTCTGTTTGGTAACATTAAAATTGACCAAATTGGCTGATTCTGCTGAAACTTATGAAGTTCTTGCTACAGTTGCTGTATTGACTGATTCTGTTGATTCATAAAAAAAATATTTAAAATATTTGTTATTAATAAATAAAATAAAAAATTATATGAAAAAATAGGTAAAATGATCCTCTACAGTAACTTCAGCCAATACAACCAGAAAAGTAACTTCAACCTTACTTTTTCTGTTTATTACATAATTCAGCGCGCGAAACCAAAAAATTACATGTTTGGTGAAAAAGCTAGCTGATAAGCCTGATGAGTTGAAAAAGGGGTCACCAAACGAGTTTGACTATTTTTATGTACTTTGAGACTTATAAGCCCATTTTTTATGCTCCAAACGGCCTTTGAGTGTAATAAGGTTTCCAACTATTAGTGATCGTGCATTTCATCCCGAAAATCAGATAATCTTACAAATACATCACTCAAAAAACAGTTGATTTTTTATATACCAATGCTGATAAGATGTTAAGTTCGAGTCACGTTTCAATGGGATGTTACCGGTTGATAAATCATGGTTTAATTGCTTTTTCCAAAGAGTTAAGCATTTTGATTGGGAAGTCACTAATATGGGATAATTTTATTTGACCATTTTGACTTTGTGTGTTAGGATGTTTTTACTTGAATGATTTTCAGTCCCAAATCAAACCAGACCAGATCAAATCAAATCAGACGACATCAAACTAAACCAGTTCAGATCCTTAATGAGACTCGGATAGTTATCGAATACACAGAGACTAGACATTTATTAGTATACGGGGCCAAATTGGCAAATTTGAGTGCGAGTAAAAACATTCTCGGTCAAAGTGTCAATTTTACCGACTGAGGGCATATATGTCAATTGATTGTTTTCCTTTTCCTTCAACATTCTGGTAACGGGTCCTTGTTGGCCTGGCCGGCTCCTCTAGTCTCTTACCGTTCCTTTCCCTCTGGCTCTGGCCGGCTCTGATTGAGAATCGTCCTTGCACAAAATGGTCTGCGAAAAGTGTAAGTTTTCTTCACTCTCCCCCCTGTAGGATTCACCTTATATACTTATATGAACTGGAGAAATTTCTGCGAATTTTGAAAGTTAGGGTTTTGTGCTTTCAGGTGAGAAGAAACTCGCGAAGGTGATTGTGCCGGACAAGTGGAAAGAAGGAGCTCATAATACAACTGAAGGCGGAGGGCGTAAGATTAACGAGAACAAACTCCTTTCTAAGAAGAAGAGGTATGTCCTCAATTTTCTTTTATATTTGAATGATTATCAGGAATATCGGATAAAATATCCAAATTAATCGGATTTTAGGGATTACCATAAAAACAAGACGACACGTCAAGCAAGTTACTTTTAGAGCCCGTTTGGCAGCACGAAAATCGGCTGTTTTGGCTGATTCTGCTGAAATTTATAAAGTTCTGGCTGAAGTGGCTGTATTGGCTGATTCTGGTGATACAAGAAAAAAATATTTTTAAAATATATTATATTAATAAAATAAAGAAAAAATTATATGTAAAAATAGCTAAAATGGTCATCTACAGCAACTTCAGCCAATACAGCCAGAAAAGTAACTTCAACCTTACTTTTTCGGCTTATTACACAATTCAGTGCGCGAAAGCAAAATTTACGTGTTTGGTAAAAAGTTGGCTGATATGCCCGATAAGCCGAAAATGAGGGTTGCCAAACGGCCTCTTAGTTTCAGGAAATTTTGCTTATGATAAGCTGATATGCATGACGTTTTGACATTGTAGCATTATATGGGTGCCTTTTTATTGATGGAAGTAGGGGACCCGAAATTCTTGCTTGGTGTGTATTATTACTATTGAAAGTTAAATTGGAGAGCAATGCCTTGTTACAAGGATGTATTAGTAGAAGTAGAACACAGGTCACAAAAACCAAATTTGGCAGAAACTGAATTGCCAGTTTCTCTTTTTAGCCTCCAAATTGTCATCATTAAGCGTGTGATCTCCCTAGAACAAATCAAGGTGGTGTATGTAAACACTACACAGATTAACAGCCTTATGAGAATCAACCTCAACACAAACATGATAATAGGCCAACTGTAGGCACGCTTTTAAGCCTCCCAAGACAACTTTAACCTCTGTAGTAACCACACTACGATCCATGTAAATTTGCAGAAACATGAACAGTGACAATCTGCTGTCCCAATAATCTTTTGTCCTATCTCAATGCCAAAAGTATGATCAATGGATTGATTTTAAAAATTTACACGGACCAATCACACCTAGAAGCCAAAGCAATGTGAAATCTAGATTCAATAATATCTCCATTGGTCGAGAACCCTTCGCATAAAAGAAAATGGCATTTTAGGACGAGTAGGATTATAGGACTGCTCCAAAAGAATTTATAGAAATTTGCCAAAGACCATTTCTTCACTAAATCAGCTCTCTTTTTTTGATGGTATTCAAAAAAATCTTTGGGTGACTCAGCATTTGATACAATGATATACGATTCAAGAAAGAGTGCAATAATTTCAACCTTTCTTCCAAAGATTTAAATTTTAACTCCCGTCCCATTAATCTATTAGATAACTTCTCCAAAAGCATGGTTTCCTATCTTCCCTCGTGTGGAGAAACTCCAAGCACTGGGAAATCTTGAAATGAAAAGTGAAACTAGCCACAATGTTCTGATGATGTCTTTTATAGTGAAATGAGCTGTATGGATATAGTGGATAACATATAATTAACGAGCGTAATTGTCTTTTTAACTTTATTAGTTCCAGTAACGAAAATAATAGTATCATCGATAAAGACTCAGTAGATGATGTGTCATGCCATCACCTCTATATACCTGTAATACATACACTGATTCAATTCAGAGAGCCTAGTCCATCCTCTGTAATATTAAAAGTTCACTTTTTTAATTTTGAAATTTTGATTATAAAAGGCGAATAAGGTTGATAATAGAGCAATATTGCTAAGAGATTTATCACGTCAAATAAGAACTTTTATTGTGTGTGTGCTCATATTTATCTCACACATCTTCAATGTTTAGGGTATTTTAATTAATTTCCCCCTATATATATTTATGTAGCCGTTGTTTGAATGTTTTAATCATGTGGCATTTGGTTAGGCTTTCCGCAAAACTTACAGTCACAAGTTCCCCATGTTAACAGATTTCATTTGAGACCATAAATTTACTTGCCAGTCTCACATTTTCTTTCCTTTCAAATGCCAAATGGTTTAAGATGTTCAACAGAATGAATATTTATGATTGGTTTCATCTTAAACTGTTGTTGAGAATGAGTTTTAGTCTCTTGAGTATATTGTGTGATAATCACATCACCAGTTTATTATAAAAATAAGTAAATGTATACTGCCTTGCAGATGGACGCCGTATGGAAGTACTAATGGAAGTACCAAGTGCATTATATGTAAACAACAAGTACATCAAGACGGAAAGTATTGTCATACCTGTGCATATAGCAAAGGTTAGTACATATATAGTACGTGTTGCTTTTTTTTACATACTCTGGCCAAGTCAAAGTTTAATTTGATTTTTGACGCACTAATAGAAGTTATTTTTGTTGTGAAGGAGTGTGTGCTATGTGTGGGAAGCAAGTTCTTGACACCAGTAGCTATAAGCAAAGCAATGTATAAGAAAGAACATTGTTTGTAGGAACTTGCATACCTTTGTTGAAGATGTTTCTATAAAAGGGTTATTTGCAGCTCACTGAATTCTTTGTAATTTGTTGCAAGAGTCGGTCGAACTCTATCCTTATTTCAAAGGATGTGATTGTGTGTGTATCTTTGTTTTGTGTTTTTACTACTAAGTCGTACATAAATTGGCAAACGACTATAAGTCAATTGACTAACTCTTGTAATGCCCGTTTAATGTTCGATATGGTTCTGAAATCAAATTTCCAAAGGGTTGAGAACTGATTAAGATGTTCCATACTTCCATTGCCAACATCTTGCGGGAGAACCCAAATGACAAAAACTTGCACCGTGCGAGGCCAGTAGAGGTGTAGAAAGTTACGTATACTTCTTGAAAGCACGTGGGGGAGTAACTCAGTAACATAGCAGTCATAGCTTATATCCCAATTCCCATTTCCCAAGTTCCTAACAGCTTTATTCTCAAAAAGAGAAGTTCATCACTGTTTTTAAACCAGAAAAAATGCCCTAAATAGCTAGAATCAATGCCCTAAATTACTGGCCTAGTGTATATAAAAAAATGTCCCTTTTCCGGTTTTCCCAATTGAAGCTAGAATTTGGCAACAGATCGAATTTTAAAAACCTTGTCACAATTTCACATAATGAAATAAAAGTACTAGCTCCGTCCACCGTTCTAAAAATTGGTCTAGTCGGACCGATTAATCGGTGCTTAGGCGCTAGGTGGCCCTAACGGTAAAGGACTAATTAGTCTAGTTGGCCAAAAAATCGGTCTAATCGCCTGCGTAGTCGCACCTAGCGGTTAGGAGCCCCTCCTTGACTAGCACCTAGCGAGTTTTAGAATAATGTCTTTGTCTCATTTTATGTGTTCTACTTTGGTTTGACACAATTATTAATAAAATGGTTGAAAAAGTAAAAGTTATAATTGAGATTTTAATATAATAAAGTGAAATATCGTAAACCACATATTTATTTAAAAAAAAATATGACACTTGTTTTGGAGTGACTCAAAAAAGAAAGTAGGTAAATAAAATGGGACAATACAGAATGAAGCATGTTAAAGAAGAGACTGCTTATAGCATGTGACATGGGTTGATCCGAAAAGTACAAACCAATGTACCAAACCGGTATGATTTGTACAACACGTTATCAATTACTAAAGCAAATAATATATTCAATATTTCAAAAAACATATTTTGGGTGTGTTTTTATGAACTTTTTAATAACGGTTAGCTTTAGACACTAAAAATATCTTAAAACAAAAAGGTGGTACTTGTTCGATAAAAAGCTGACTTTTTTTATTTAGTTCTGTTTGGCATACAAGTTGTTGCCTGTTGGGACTAATTAATACTACGTATTAAAAGCTACAAACTTTTCTCAAATGTTACTCATCATAGCATCTCAAAAAAGATCCTTTATTTTTTAAAAAAAAAATCTTGAAAATTGTCATGTCAAACATTCAACTAGAAGTTTTAGAGACTTTAAATAGTACAAAATGTAGAAGGTAACGACTTATGTCTAGTAAACATGCTCTCTATATACCTATGTGTCCCAACTTAGGCTCATCCTATGTGGATCAATTATATGCTATGTGTGTGATGTAAGTATTCAACATACATTTTCTTTCTTGCTTCTCAAGAAACTTTTGATGATAAATCACCCACATCAAAGTCAAAGCAATGCGGTTTAGAGAATTATGAAATTGTTTGAGCCTTATTATATGTGCTTGGTGTGTTTCGTTTACTCATATATATATATATATATATATATATATATATATATATATATATATATATATAGAGAGAGAGAGAGAGAGAGAGAGAGAATTTATCTCTACTTTGGACTTCATAGTTTCCTTTGTGGCCTTTGGAAGTCTAATCCCGGGAGGTTATATTGGGGCTCTATTGTTAAGTTATTGTATTAGGATTTAGGACGATGTATCAACAAAAGGGGTTCTTTCAATGCTCACCATAAGTGTGCTTCCCTAAAGCAAGAAAGATGCATTATAAATGTTTTGTTATCAAATACTCCAAATTCTACTTAAAAACGGCACATTTATCTTGTAAAATCAGTATTATTTTTAAGGACTACAAAATTTTACAATTACACACTATGTAACCACAAAATATATCACTCTTCACAAGCAAGTACTACCCAACTCTATTAATGACTCGATTGAATATTATTTTAGTTGAATGACCAAATCTTCAAGTTTTATTTCTTCTTCTACCATTCTAATTCATGACAGTGAAAATTACAACACTTGTGCTATAGATTTTATTGGTGTCTGTCTTAAGCTAAAGCAATTATATTGTCGGATTTCTGGTTTGTGATTTGTGACGGAGTAAGGGGTAAGAGTTCAGCAAATTGAAATTTGTGACAAACAATACACAGCACAAAGGGTGCCCGGCAAAACTTCTATAAGTGCAGCATTCTATGTTCTGTTGAGAAAATGAATTCAACATGGAAAAGATACACTTCACCAAATTGACAATCCACTGATGGATCTGGCAGAAGTTACGTGATCTTCATCAAGTAGTAATGTTACACGTATCTCATTTCCTTTAATGTGAGAAATACACTATCAATACCTACTCACATCCTAGAATTTTTCAAGTTGAATTGTTATGAACTATCTTCGCCGTTTTGATTCCTTTCGCGACTCTGCCAGGTAGCTCTCAAGGTTGGATTTCTCCCACAGCCGTCTTTGAATAAGATCTTCCTTTGCTGACTCTTCTGAAGAAGGGAAGCAAATGAAAAGAAACCTGCATTATTAGTCTAATAAAAAGAAATGATGATGGGAAACATATTTGGATATTAAAGATGCAAAAATTAGAAAAATGAAGTAAATGGGAAAACAATAAGTAAATGTTTTCAAGGAAGAAGACTACAGGTTGGGATGAAAATCTACCTATGTATCTCCATGAATCAATAGGAACACCAAGTGATCTTCGAGTCAAGTAAGAAGCATCTTCCCTAGAGTATGGAGCCCCTTTGACATTGTACCTCCACAACCAACAACCATGCCACAATAGAAGCTGTAAACAGGAACTTTCAGAGCTCCTTACTGTTTTAAAATCATACGTAGTAATTCCTAATATTACTTGATACTCCCTCTCTTATAGAAAAACAGATCGTGGTTAGTCAAGATAACTTTTTAGTTTTGGCAAGGTAGAACATTTTAAACTCATGGAACGATTAATATATTTTTTAAAAACTGGTTTATCTAAACTCATCATACTCCGTAATTCTGTATTAAACTTCTCTCTACTTTTTTGTCAAATTTCAAAATGACTTACGTTCATCTGACCAAATAAGACAGAATAGGACCTAACAAGCTTTTGAAACATGATTTCTTGTTTTTTGGGGGGAAGGGGTATTTTCAGTATTGTTTCACACTTTCACATCGAGAGCTTTTCACGTCATTACAATGATTAAGGCTACACGAACCTTTCCAATAGTGTAAGGAAGAAGCAGGAAACGAACTCCAACAAGTTCCCAAATAGATGGTATTTCAGCTCCTTTTATCTGCAGATTGAGTTCCTTACTCAGTTCTTCCTCCATGTTCCTGCCACGTGTAAGAAACTCAAAATAATGCTCAACATGAACTAACATTTACATGGTGGTTTACTAAAATTTAAAATAAGATCATACTTATCCATAGGTTTGTTGCTCTTCTTTTTACTTGTAACACCTCCACTGCGTTCAAGTTCCAAAGCACGCAGCTTATTTTTGTAAGCTGGTGTTTTCTTGACCATGTCAATAGCCTGAAATAAGTGCACAACTTGAGAGGAATATTATTGCCAGACTAGAAATCTTGTCTGACAATGACCTTTTATATATGGTTATATAGCATTAGACAATATTCAAACTATGTAATACTCCAAGCAAAAATACATAGAACTCCAAAAGTTCAACACACTTCTATTACTCGAACACAATTGAAGTTGTCAAGGAATTAGTAACTATAAAGTAATTTGAAGATGCCAAGGGCATGTTTGGATCACAGAAGATGCTAAAGTTGCTGTTATTTGGTTTTACCACTAAAGTGCAAAGGGAAAATGAAATGTGATTAATGATTTACTTTTTTTACATAGGTTCAAGTTTATCGATCTTTAAGTAGAAAATAATATTCCCTCCATCCCAAAATGATTTTCATAGTATGTTTTGTTTGGTCAACACAGTTTGATTTTATTTACTTAATTAAGATATCATTTTCTAATTTGGATTTTGCGACTTTGTATAGCTTTCAATGTAGTTTCTGAATATGTAAGTTTTAATTAGTAAAACTTATTTAATTATCTGTTATCTGCGGGGAGGATTTAACTTTATCCTCAGAGTCAACTTTAAAAATCACAAATTGCAGATCAATTTGGGATGGAGAGAGTATATGAATAGGGTTTGAAAACATATATTAAATCAGTTATTTTCTACACACTAACTGAAAGAAAGCTCTAAATTATAATAGTGCACACAAAATAAAATGGTTTCTAGTAAGATGACAATGACAGGAGCATTTCAGAGCACTTCATTTAAACCTTAGAATTAGAGATCATAAGACACTAAAATGCAAACAAAACAGTGTTTAGAATCACCGGTTTATATTTCACTATTTGTAGAATATTTCAATACGGGAAGGTAATCAAGTCAAGAAATTGAGTTATGGCAGAGTATTCTTTATTCTTCCATGCCATAAAGATGTTCTTTCCATTAGAACTGTAAAGCCACACTGTACATACTAAATAGAACTTGAAAGGCATGTGAATACCTGATTATACCTTGTCCACTGATTGAGATATTGAAATAATGAGAGAATCAAAAGCAGGCCAACAAGGACAGCACGAGGATCCTATAAACAGGAAAATGTGGAACAGAAATAGTTAAGCAGGTAATTGAAAAAAATGAAAGTTTACCAGCCATAGAAGAGTACAGGAGGAAGACACTAACAGTTTTGTGGCCATAGTACGCTTGGTAGTATCGTGCTGTATTATAGAATATCTAACAAAGATAAAGCACCAGTTTAGTTTCAACACCATAATAGGCTATTTAGGCATTTGCATGTATGAGAAATTGAGAATACATGTGCTTTGTAGACTAAACATTCAGAGAATACTCAATTACTCAAAAATATCTGTTCAAAAAACAACTTTCCTATCATCGAATAAAACCCCATCCAAGTTATTTTTTACTGTTTACTCATTGCAAAAGGAACTGTATGAAAAGAGCACGGGTAGAACAATAATGTCTAAACATAAATCGATGGATGAACTAAAATGCATTTGAAAGAACTTGAGTGCTAAAAAATAAAAGTATAATAACTCCCTCCATCCCTAAATAAAATTCAAATTAACTGGGCAAAGAGATTAAGAAAATGAAAACCGAGAGGTTGATATTTGTTAAGCAATAAAGCTATTCCTAAACTTTTTGGTACATTTTGTGGCTTTCTTCTATGGAAAGCGTCTACTAGATGATGAAAAGTAGACAACTTTTAATCATCCAATAGATACTTGCCACGCAGGAATGTGGCTACAAAATGTAGCACAAAATTGTTTCCCTATGCTTACTTTTTTAGTGGAGAGAAAAAAACATGAACCACATTTTGCTTTCCTTGAAATGTGGCTACAAAATGTAGCACAAAATTGTTTCCCTATGCTTACTCTTTTTTTTAGTGGAGAGAAAAAATTATGAACCACATTTTGCTTTCCTTGAAACGAGATGGGTGATAACTGATAAGTTTGATATGGGCACTAGAGGAGGGCGTGAAGTTGTGAACATTATTTAGGGACAAAGGGAGCATATACTTGACAGAGTACATCAATTGTATTAGTTCATATAGTGGTATCATAACCAGTGGAACAAGAAAAAGCTATTAACCTCCTCTGGGTGGGCAATAGCATAGTCATATTGTTCTCTTGTAGCTTCATCTTTCAGTATCTGCAAGAAAAGATTCAGCTTATCAAGTACTCCCTACTAATAATATGCTAATCATGGTACCATTCGGTTGATGATTAAAATATATTGTAAACAAGATTCATAGAAATGGATATGGAGTGAAATAAATTATTGCTCTGTTTTATTTTTTAAGTGTGGCTCGATTCATTTTCATCTCACACCAGATAGTAGACACTACTGATTTTAACATCCATACTCTTCATAGAATAATGAACACCTATTTGGCTATCACTAGGTTTTCTCCACCAACATGTATTTAACTGGCAAATATAGCATTTCGACTGGTAAAGCTGGATAAACCTTCCCATTCTCTGCAACTCTTATGCAATTACATTTGAGAGCTTCTATGGCATTCTACATTTTCTAAAAGTGTAAGTTTCTACTCATATTCGCCTTCAAATGAAGGGACTAAGAATGAAGGGGCCGGAAACAGTTTCACTTCACTTTCTTAAACAACCAATAAAAAAAACAATATCATCCTACAAATTTAGGGGTACCTCATTTCGGTGGTACCACAGTTCCACAAATACTCAGCTACTATTTATGCAATGCACAACTATCAGAGGGCTTACCATTGTCAAACTGTAAATAATAGCAACAGGGAGTAGTAATTTTTTAAAGGATTTATTAAAATATAATCACTCTCCCTACCTCATAGGCATTCGCAATTTTAACAAACTTGGCCCTTGATTCTGGATCAGGATTTTTGTCTGGATGACTAAGCAAAACAACTAAGTAAGAAACTATGCCCACCTAAAGGATCACTGAGTAATTGTAATAATAATAATAATGAAGAAGAAAGCTTACAATTTCAGAGAAAGCTTATAGTACGCCTTTTTAATTTCAGAGGAATTGGCATTTTGAGAGATTCTGAAAATTTAAGAGAAAATTATGAAATAATGTATATTGACAGGGTTCAAAGTAGACGCAAGAAGAGATATAGGAATCACCCAAGGAGATCGTAACAGTCGTCTTCGTCGCAATATATAGAGGTTGAAGGCTGGATCAGAAAGGAGACAACAAGAGTTACGGTCAGCGCCGACCAGCGGATCGAGGCCACTGCTGCCCAGGTTGTTCGCCCCATTGTCGTCGTTCCCTTGTTGCGTCTCGCTGGAAATAAGATTTTGTTTCCAGGTCAGAAGGCTCAGCAAAAATGATGACGTTTGCACCCCATTAAGTTCAGGCTTGTATAAAGAATGCCAGTTATTCAAAATATTCAACTACTGATTTTCAAGCTCGTGCGATTACGGACAGTATGTAATTTAGTTAATTTGAAATTTAATTTATATCAGATCACATATAATGTTATTTAAAAGAAAAATAAACTTAATCTAATATAGAGTCTGTTTGATAATACTAAAGTAAATAGAATTAACTTATTTTGTTGAAATTGATTGAATTCTGGTTAAATAAGTGGAATCTTCTGAATCATGAAAAATATATGTGAAATATATTTCATTTTTGAAACAAAGAAAAAATATATTAAAAAAAGTTAAATTGGTCTTTTACATAAGCATCTCAAGTAAACATAATTGTTATTAACCCAATAATAAAAAAATTCTATATTTCTTAATTGTTAGATCTTAGAGTTTACTCATTAATAAGAACGTTTTTAATTGAATTAAAATTTCGGGTTTGATTTGGTATGAATTAATATGGTCTATTAGATGTCTGTTTTTTATGTGACTTATTGTTGTAATTATTAAAGTTTGATCAAATCAATCCAATTAAAAACATTCTATTAAAATAAAAGTAGGAATTCTTAAACCCATAAAGATTTTCTATTTTGGATTAGGAATCTATTTCAAAAGTGAAGCCATATTTAAATTTTAGGTGTAAAATAAAGAAACAACCAAAATAATTACTTATTTGGCTAAGCTAAACATATTTACTTGTGAAAATATATATACTATATGTTGGTTATAATTTTTAATTTCATTTTTCATTATTTACTTATTTGAAGCTTACTAATTTATTAATAGGTGTCAAATTAATAAGTAAACTAATTTGCATATTTGTTTCTATTTAATTCGATGTAGTAAACTAATATAAATTAGTTTCCATATCAATAAGTGTTATTAGAATTTCACTTTGATAACCAAAAATTATTTTACTTATTTGAAGCTTACCAAATTAATTAAGGTGGATTTATAAGGATTTTTGTTTCCATATCAATATGCAATCAAAAATAGAATCTAATAAAAACAAAAGGTATAAAAATAAGTAAATAATTGTTATATATAATGACATGGCAGGATTATGTGGCGCTTTGTATGCTCTTAAAAAGTTCCTCTTTTATATATATATTTATTCATAGCAAAAATATTCACTTAATTTTCTACTTCGTCCATCCCTGGTCAAATTTGAGCAGCACGAGGATTAATAAAGTAAAAACTGTGTGGTTAAAATTTGTGTAGAGAAGAGAGAATTAACTTGAACCATAAATTCTTTACTTAAAAGGGAAGTTGCAAAGTTAATTAGACAATCCAAAAAGGAAAATTGACAAAGTTTAAAGGGACAGAGAAATGATTAAATATTCAACTTTTAAATTTGTGGACTCGACTATATAATAATCAAAATAAGAAAGGTTGAAATTACTTTTCTAATTAAATTTACATAATTAGTGTAAAAAAACCTTTTTAGTTATTCTTTTATATTATACTTACGAGTATAAATAAATAAATTACGTATTACATAGTATATTAGAGAAAAGTACAAAAAAGATAATTGTGATCGAGAGCATTAACAAATAAGTGTACGGTTTGAGATCCATTTTCTCACAAAATGAGGCATGTGTTTTGAATCATGTAGCACTCATGAAACATCTATCTAAACTAGGGGTGGACCGGTTCCGGTTCGGGCTTGGGCTCGGCCGGGCTTGGATGGTTTTGGGTAAGGCCCGAGACCGACCCGGGAGTCTGCCAGTTCCGGGTCGGACCGGTTCCGGTTTAATTTTTTTTTTGTGTTTTCTTAATTATTTCGAACCCCACCTCCATCCCCCCACCCCCCCAAACCCCTCGGAAACACCCAGCCCAGTCCACTAAAACCCAGCCCAAACCCAATAAAACCAAAAACAAAAGCCCGAACCGGGCTCGGACCGGTCAGGCCGGTTCACCCTTTTGGAGTCTCGGAACCGCCCCCGGTTACCCCCTGGGGTCGGGCCTAAGCCCGGTACCGGTACCGGTTACCCGGGTCTGACCGGTCCCACACAGTAGCGGGCTGGGCCGGTTTCCGGGCCGGTTAGACCGGACCGGATCCATGGCTAATCTAAACTCCCTAGAAAAGATACAAACATATACCCCCAAACTGAAAACACATGCTCAATCTGTCAAGGAATAATTAATTTTGTATTCAGTGAATCTAGTAAATCATTTTACAAAATAAATTAGGACGTGTGAAGTATATTATTGTCATTTCACAGAATTGTGTATACCTAGAAAACTATAGAAGTGTTATCTAAGAAATTGTGGATCTTTTAATACTCGTCGTTAGAAGCCAATAAGAGATTGACACATTATCAATTCATACTCAATTTATTATAGGAAAACTGTCTATTTGATCCTCGTACTATCACGAAAAAATCAATAAAATTCTCGTACATTTAAAAAAATCAATCAAATCCCCGCACTTTGTAAAAATGTTCAATTGGGTCCATTTTGCAGGTTACTTGCTATGTCAGCAGGTCACCCTTGACATGACGCACACGTGACGGTCCATGTGTGCACCTCGTCATCATTTTACGATTTGACTTCCACATGTGTGCCACGTCTGCAAGTCACAGGTGATTGGACCGCCACGTGTACGCCACGTTAATGGGTGACCTGCTGACATGATGTTGTGATTGAATGTGATGATACTAATTAATACCAATAATAACAATAGTGTTTAATTTTTTATGGTGATAGCAATGGACTTTGGCTAACAATGCTAATAGTTGCCAATTGAACATTTTTACAAGGAGAACTAATAGTTGCCAATTGAACATTTTTACAAGGAGAACTGTCAAATAAGCCTCCTACTGTCACAAAAAGTCAATTAAGACCCCAACTCATTTATCATCCAATTAGACCCACGAACGCTTATAAAATTTTCAAGGAATTTTATCAATCCAGGACCTGAAAGATAGACGAACTATCAATTCGGGACCTGAAAGATGAAATGTATCGGTGTAGGACTCGAATGATGGAAAACTATCAATCTAGGATCTGAATGATTGAAAACTATCAATTTAGGACCTAAGTTTTCATTAATGTTATTATTATTTTTATTTTTAAAAATTTAAATAATATTTAGTTTTATTAAACTAATAAAGTTTTGTGAAGACAATTTCACCAAATATCAGCAATGGAATTAATAAAAAATTAAATAAATCAAAACCTATGAGATGTTAGGTCCTATATTGATAGTTTTTCATCTTTCGAGTCCTATACTAATACATTTCATCTTTCAGGTTCCAGATTGATAATTCATCTTAGGGGTGGACATTTTGATTTTCGATTCGGTTTTCTTCGATTTTGGTTCGGTTTCGGTTTAATCAGTTTGATAGAAAATGTAACAAATACAAACCGATTAAGTTTCAGTTTGGTTTCGTTTTGGTATGATTCGGTTGGGTTTGGAGTTCGGTTTACCAAAGTATTAAGGTTTGGATTGAAATAAAAAAATTAACTCAAAATAATGAACCAAGAAGTGATAGTAATGAACCAAATATAATGTTAGATATAAATTTGCAAACAGTAACAAAACACATATGAACCAAAAATATTTAAGCATGACACATTTGTAAGCAACAACAACAATAGGGATGAATCAAATTATATATAAAGCCGAAACAAAAACAAAACCGGTGCTTATAAGTAATGACCCAAATATATAGTAGTAGTAGATAATAAATTATAGTTAAATACTATCTACTTAAACCATTATAATTATTATAGTTGTGAATGTAACTATTGTAGTAAACTCTAGTCCTGGACACTAAAATTAAAGAATTAAAGCTTCAAAAAGATTAACATCAATCAAATTAATGAGAGAAATCTTATATTTTTGTTTGGTTTAGTTTGGTGTAAGTTGGTTTTGATTTTTTATTTTAAAAAATTAAGAAATTATTTCATTTTTAGATTAACTCAGTTTTATTCGGTTTTATGATTTCGGTTCGGTTTAATATGAGTTGAGAGGAATACTACCAAACTCAAACCAAATTACAAATGGTTTGATTTCAGTTTGGTTTAATTCGGTTCGGTACGGTTCGGTTCGGTCAAACCAAACCGTTATGTCCACCCCTAATTCGTCTATCTTTCAGGTTCCAGATTGATAAAATTCCAATTTTCAATTCAGCTTTGTTGCCGGTAATCTTCGGGTTCCCAGGTAAACTGTACAGGTGGCATGTGACATGATGGTCTTTATGTTTTCTTTTCTTTTTTCATTTTTTTCTTCCCTCCCTGATTCTTGCTCGTGAGTCCTCTTGCTTCCCGTTCGTCACCCGCAGGCTGCAGCCATCACGCAAATTATACGGTGAGATCGACCCACCTTCCGCATGGTATGCCGATCCCACTTTTAAGGAATTTACGTAACTTTTCTTTTCCCTCATCCTTTGTCTCCAGCTTTGTTATTTCCTTTTTCTTTCCTTTTCTTCATTTTTTTTTCTTTTGTTCAATTTTTTCTTTTCCCATCAAATTAAAATACCAAAAAATTAATTGCAATCCTACTTTTCTTTATCTTCATCTTAAATTATAATTGAATCTATTTTTTTTATTCTTTATCAATACATAACAAAAAGTTTATTAATCTAAATAAAATAAGTATATTGCATCTCATGTTCATACACTATTTTTGTTTATGTAATATTTTTTATATCCATATACTTTTTTTATAATATGCTTTTTATATTCATACACTTTTTTGTAATATTTTTTTGTATGCACACACTTTTTCTATAATATAATATTTTGGCACTTTTATATGTTTTTAGAGGTTTTTAATACATTGACTTTGTTTATTTTGATTCTTCGAGTTACATTTGATAATATATCATGAAGTTACATTTTTTTCTGCGCGAGTTGCATCTTAATGTACGCGAGTTACATCTTTATGTACACGAGTTACATCTTAATTCAACGAACAAAAGCAGGTCCTACAAAAAAGATGTAACTTCATTCTTTATCAAAGTGGTTCATGTGTTTGAATTCCG